AGCAAAGAGGAATAGGTCAAAGAATAAAATGAGAGAGAAAGAATCCATAAAAGAGAAAATCAAATAATTAGGATGTCTTATATATAGAACACGTAATACGAAGACAGAAGAACAAATAAAACAAGATGTTCGAGCTTTAGCTTCCATTTAAGGAAACTGCAGCGCAAGGTAGTTGTCCTGTACTAAACAAACATATTTTTCACGTGAACTGAGAAGAATTCCGTCCAGCGGCTCCATTTCGTCTTTCGCTAAAAAGCAAAAAATGTCCGCCTAAATGGTTTCGCCTCGTCAGCGCCCCGTCCTTCGTCAGATTTTCAAAAATTCTTCTCTGCGGGCCTCGCGAGGATCCTCGTCCACCTCTGGTGTGCACCTCGACGGTTTGTACGGGTTAATCATGGCAGATGAGAAGGCGGTCTTGGTGGCGTTAGAAAGAGTTCGATGCTTATTACAATTTGAGGTCAAAAGCTGCCTTCCGGTCACACTTTTAGTTTTCGAGTTAGAGCTCCAGATATTTTCCAAATTTTTTCTTTGATCTTACGACATTAACTGAGAACTGAACTTATTAGTAGGTATGTCACAGTTGTAGTTGCATGGAAACAACTACAACTGCAAGAGGAAATTCCTCTTGCACAACTGCATTTGTGACATGCCTACTTATTAGGGCTTTTTCTATGATTTCTAACACTTGCTGACCATTTTATCGTCAATTTAAGCGACTTCAAGGCCAAGTAAAGTAAGAAAAATGCTCCCTTTTCATTTTTCTCCCAATTCGGAAACGAAGGGATGCATCAAAAATGTTTTCGATTCAAAATCATTCTTTTGGTCACTAGGACATGATTCGATCGAGAAAACTCGACAAATCGCAGCGTTTCAAAAGATGATTATTTGTGCATATACTTCTACGTGTTTCGCAAATAGCATTCTGCTAGAGAAATAATTCTTTTTGGTGTCTCTAGGGAAGAGAAAACGTCTTTTCTCAAGTAAGAGCTTATTATTAGTGTTGGCTTATGTATATTTTGTCATTGGGAGCAAAAATTCAAGGTCAAGTAAAGCAAGAATTTTTTTAAAGATCGTTGGGCACTGCCCTACCACCCACGGATTCCTGGTTACGCCACTACTTCCAAAATCGTTAGGTTTCCACTAAAACTGTTGAAATATTGAGGTCTCCAGAGACTTTAAAAGCCGCGGTGAAAAACATTGAAGTTATATAATTTCGATTAGTTTGGTCGACTGGCACGTGTGGGCCAATCAAAATCATGTCATTTATGAAAGTTGCAACAGTTTTAGTAGAAAACTAACGATTTTGGAAACCGTTTTAAGCCGCTGCCTGGATATTTCTGCCATACTTAAAAAATAGTTATCACAGAGTTAAGTAACTGATAGTTACCGTTAGAACAACGGTAACTGAAAAGACAGTTACCGTTGTTTTTACGGTCACGGTGTTGTCAGTTAGCGTTAAATCAACGTAACGAGAATTTTTACAGTCCTATTTGACAGAGTCCGATTTTCAAATTATGCTTCTATTTTTTATAGAAATGAGGATTTCTAAGGACTTTCCACGGATTTTTTGGACTTTAAAATTCTATTAAGTACCAGAAATCAGTAAATGAGAAATTCAAAATGCGAGCTGTGTCAACTCCCAGGCATAGCTATTTACTGCAAAAGAAAAAGAGCCCGAGCTCTCTAGTATTCATCTGGAATGAGAATTCTTGCGCGTGACAGACACCTACTTTGGGCCCCTGTTATAGTGCCCTATAACTAACAGGGTTTTTTTAAAGAGTCTTTTAGACTCAAAAAACTCTCCCAAAAATCATGAGTTTTTCATTTTGAGACGACCACGAACGCTTTTTAGTTTTTTGGCTTAAAATACCCGTTAAAAAGTTCTTTTGGGTTTTTTGATCAGTTTTTTAGTCCAAAAAGCTCTTTTATTATAGTTTATTAATCTACAACTTTTTTTTAGAGTGTATAAACTCCGTACCGGTACCGACTTGTCTTGAGCATATTTTGCCTAAAAACAAATACGTTTTCCTTGTTTTTCTTTACTGCGAACTTTATTTTACGTTATCAAAGGGATAAATTAATCTTTTCACTTTATTATGTATGGCTGATTTCCCACAGGCTTTTTTTCCCCGAAAATAGCAATCCAATTCAATCTTTTAAATTAAAAAGTTTATATACGCCGACAAAGTTTAAGTAATTGGAATGAAATTTTAGTGGAAGAAATATGCCACAGTTGAACTGAATTTACACGATGATAATAACAAAATACCAACAATATCGGCTAACTGAGCATACTTTATACTAACGTCGGTATACCGATCAGCGTTATAATTCGTAGGTTGCACCTATGGTTCAGATCAGACCTACCTGGACTGAGATAGGTTTCTGCCCGGGGGAAGGCCTTAAAACGTATAGTCGAGCCTAGAAAGCGCGGTATAAATAGCTCTAGATTAACAATGGTCAATAATCATCTGTTTTTTATTAAAGGTGTAAATTATGCCATTAAAACTTGACTGATAGTCAGCGAAATATCCAAACACAAACTACTTGAGGTGCTCTGCAATACACTTGAAACAAAATACGTTTTTGTTAATCATTAACGAATTTCAAAAAACCGATTTTGTGAAAACCGATCTAAAACTGTACTTCAATACTCTAATTCAATGTAAAACATATGTTTCGATCAGTTTAGTACGATTACTTTTTTGTTGTTGACAGTGAACTGATCTCATTCTGGGTTACTTTTACATGAAAAGGGTGTTTAGTAGGTTATTAATAGCATAAAATTACCATGAATAACATATAGTATATAGAGAACGACAACTTCAAGCGAGACCAAAAGGTTTTTACTATTCTACTTAATAATGCTTGTTATTTTACTCTGAAGAAAAGGAACAGAAAAAACGGAGAAAATGTAACACCATACATTAAGAATGAATAAATGCATACAAGGATCGAATCATTTTACCCATTCATTCTTATACAAACAATCTTGGTCTTGCAAAACAGAAAAAAAATTAAGCAAGCGCAAGAGAGAGAGGAAGAGAAATAAAAAAAAGAAAGGCAATCATGTGCGAAAATCAAAACAGAAATAAAGGAGAAATAATGGAGCACATAGGCACATAAGAACTGATTACTTCAACAGCAGTCTATTCGATAAAAAGTGAGTACGTATTATAGAATAATTATCTCGCTTTAAATATATTACATAATAATCATCTCTTTAGTGTAAAGGTCTCGAATTTTTTTATTATCATCCCGTTTATAAAATGAGTAATGCCAAGGGTAAGCAACTACATTTATAAGCATCTTTCCTAGTCAAATGATGATTATAATAATGATAAATATCGTTTAGTTAATGTTTACTTTACCTTGTTCTAATATCTGACTTTTCAAAAATACAGATATAGCTCAATATTTTTTCTCAAATTCATTGTGACTAACGGCAAAAGATCCTAAAAGCTGTATGTTTGGAACTGCTATACCATACCATGGGACTATGGGAGGAAATTTATATACTACACAACTAACTTTCACAGAGAAAGAGTAAGTTGATAGTTTCGTGTACGGCTAGAGCGCAGACTAAACTATCAAATTACAAAATTGAAAGTTTGTCCGAGGTAGGCAAAATTTCACTTGAAATAATTCGACCAGAGGTGTGTGTGTAGGAATACAGGATCTTTTGATTGATTATGTGTTTTCAACCAAGATAAATATCCAAGCCAAAATGGAGTTTTAATCGAAGTATTTCAAGAATTGTTAAATTAATGTTACCATAAGATTCAAAAGAACTGATAGCCTATCTCTTCGAATGATACATCGACATTACCACGAACCAATATTAACGGGAAGACTTGTTTATTGGAAAAGAAGAATAAATGAGCCTGATTTTGTATTTCGTATATCATGTTTTGACTTGGGCCTTGATGTTTTCATTTGAAAGGAGATATTTTAGCGTCCTGGACAGCCAGAACACATAAAAAATATCCGGCTGTGTGCAGATAGAAAAAAAATAAAAAATTTGGCTTTAGAAATCAAGCAAAGCTCTTATTTTGCGTCTCTGATTCTTTCTGGTTGTCCAGAACGTTGAAATATCTCATTTCAAATGAAAACATCCAAAAAACAGTTAGTATTTTTGGTATTCGGTATAACGATACCAGTGCATGCCTATTCAAAATGAGCACATAAAAAAGAACTTAAGAAAATGATATTTTTTTGTTGGTTGTGTTCGTTTGTTCGATCAAACTGCGGTTCAAGAGCAAATGTTTTGTCCTGCATGTGATCGCAATGAGCAACCGAACTGTTTCGTCGCCTGTGTTCGTTTGTATATATATATATATATGTACCATGATGATCTTTTCTATCTTCTTCTGCTTTTTCTTCTACTTCATCTTCTTCTTCCGCATCTTCTTCTTCTTCTCCTGTGTCTATCTCTAGAAAAAAGGTGACCTCAATAGAAAGAAGTCCAACTTCACACTTATCATTTACTGGACAGGATAAAAGCCCAGTGGCGTTCTGTTTTGTCCTAGGGTTTACTCAAGGTAATTTTAAAAAAAGTGTTCATAAAGTAATGGTAGTTAGACATTGGTTTTCTGGAAATTCTCCATAACGCATCAAGAACAAAAAACTTATATATCATTGTATTTCGTAGCTGAGAACACCGAATGACAAAACTCAACTCGCTTATTAAAAAGACACTACCAAAGTAGTTCCATAGTTTTAGACACAAAATATATGACAGTTTCTAGTTACTATTATTGAACAGAAAAGTTTTTGTTATAGTTCTTTACATTTTATAACACGTGGAACTTATACGGACATTTGCGATTACGTTTTACATTCGATCTTGAAATTTCTAGTTTTATTACTTTCAGCGTGATAAAGCCAATGAGTAATCCTGCTGCCTACAAGGTAAAATCTCAAGAATCCGAAGAACAACGTGTTGAGCTTATTCAACCAACTCAACTTCAATGGATGACAAATCCAACATCAGCGCCCGGACTAGGATATTTAGCCGATGTTGACTATTTAGCTGCAAGACAGGACAGAAGCATATCACAAAGTATATCACTTACTCATTCAGTTCGTATCACTGATACACACAGTTTGACACATATTTTCAGTGATTACTGGCTTAACAAGTGCACAAAAGTTTCGAATTAGCAATAGTTTAGGACAAATAGTCTATTTTGCATTTGAAGGTATGAAAATAATTATTTCGTGTTTTTTATTGTTTAGTTTAGTCTCGGGGAGGCACACTGTGCAAGACAAATCGCTATGTGCGCAATTTTCTAGTAATCATAGAAATATCGAAATGACTTATAGAGTATTCCAAAGATTCAGAGATGACATTTTTTCGAGTGTAAGTACGAATACTGAGTATTTAGTATCGAGTACGAATGCAAAACAGCTTTACCCAGATATGTACAAAGATCTTTTGAAAAAAGGAAGATTGTCATCGGAAAATGTTTCGTGTGATGATAGTATATCGATCAGTCTCATTTGAATTCTCAGTTAATCCGAGTACTAGATTACTCTTTCAAGTACTCATTAAAAATAGGGCGCGAGTACAAGTACGAATATTTAAAAATTTATACTCAAGTATACTCGAGTTCGAGTAAATATCAGGACTCTGTATGGTCTAATCTGGTTCCAATTTTTGGCACCGGACCATAACTTTTTGGAACCAGGTCTACTTCGGACCATTTTCGATCAAAAAATGTGGGAGCAGGACCAATCCGAACCATCAATTTTTCGGACCACTTTAGACCATGAAAATTGTTTTCCTCTTTTTGAAGGTCCATTTCTACTGTGTAACGAAAAACTGTTTAATTTCTATTTTTATCAAACCCGAAAACAAACTGTTTCTTAATTAAATGTTCAGCAAAGCTTATCTAGTCGATAAGCAAAAAAATAAAGAGATCTCTAAAAACATTTCCCACCAGGAACAGTTCGGACTAATAATTTTGAGACCGAGGTCAGTTCGAACCATTAAACTTTTTAAAAATTGGGACCAAGTCGGGCCAAATGGATTACGGTCTTTATTTCATTTATTTTTATTTTTTCTCGGCGACCATAATAGCTAGAATAAATTAGAAAAACGATTTGAACAGCTGAAAGGATTTCCGATCCCAAGTGGCGTATACAAAAGTTTCATCAAAACTCCTGAAATCAGGATCTCTGGAAAAGGGAAATCTCAGAAAACCAGGTCTCGGAGTTCAATCTAGAAATTCTTTGCAAATAAGTTGATCTTCTAGAGCAAACATTTCTGAAGAAAATGAAACGTCTTCCAGGTCTTTACGACATTTTCTCATGAAGCATCATTCAATTTATGGAAGGCCCTAAGGGTGTATCGTCTTGTTTTCCCGTTAGTTTGGCTCTATGGGGCCTTCCATAAATTGAGTGCTGTTCCATGAGAAAATCAAGGAAAATCGGCTCCCCCCCCCCTTTTCATAAAAAGAAAGTAAAAGTTTGAAACTTTTACTTCTAGACGAACCGAACTTGCTTATACCCGCTGTCAGGTTTATTTTCTATGTCTCAGTGGATTTCTCAAACAATCGCAATCTTCTTTGCCGTAATCACCCTAACAAATGCGGCTGTAGAGATATTGAGAATAGTGCACACTATTTTCTGAAAATTTAGATATTCTACTCTTGAAACTAAATTTGAATCCTGATTCGATGAAAATTATAGCGCGAGCTGTTTCGATATACATTCAAGATCGTCATGACTTTAATTGATTCATTATCTACCATTGCTACAGTTTTTTTTGCGTTTTAATAAAGATTATATCAAAAACACTGTGCTGTACCTTTGCTACTCTAGAATCAAGTACATTAATGCGATTGTGCTGCACAAATAACCGTTCATTTGTTTTACATATTGTTGACAATGCGAGTCAGGTTAGTAATGCACTCGTGTAATAAAAAGTGACACTTTTCAAAAATGTTTATTGCTCTTTATACTCAGGAAGTAATACGAATACGTCGTAAATTTAAATGTTGTGCTGGATGCTGTTGGTGTGCATGTGTTGATTGCTGCGCTCATGAAGTATTTGTTGAATCACCACCCGGAACTGCTGCTGGATCAGTTCGACAAGAGTAAGTTTTTGCTATTTAACTATAACGAACTACATACCCACTTTAATCATAGAACACCTTAACCCAGTTTCATGCTCTGGAAGATTACACGCTTCGGATCATCATTCATTTTCCAGATGATACCAAATAATTTCTCAGACGATATTCTTTTCACAGATAGTGAAATGAAACAAAGCTAATGATAGTATCGAAAATATGGAAGTTTTCTAGGAAAAAAAAAGCATCGAATACAGGGAGGTTATAACTATACTTTTTTAGAAAAAGCAATGCTTTGTTAAACCGCAAAAATTCTAGAGTGTGTTTATAAACCCAAATAATTATTAAATTTTTATTTATTTTTGGATTTGTCTAAGTCTGATATTAAATAATAAAAAAGTGAAACATTATTGGCATGCGTTTCTAGTACCAAAGTAATAAAAAAGCACGATACATGCAATAAAATGCAGGACAAGACTGGACTGAGATCGACTTTTATTGGTATAAAAAATCTAATTTTGAATTGAAAATAAAGTCCATTCTCTCACCTTCTTGTTGCACCGTACGGTGTGGCGAAGCGTGACGAACTTTCGTTTTTTCGCATTCTGCGATTTATAACTCGCAAATGGCGAAAGCAAACCTTCTGAAATTTGTATTATAGGTAGAGAACCATGAGTTCTATTACCAACATTTTTGTTTTTAATTAATAGAGTTTTCATTTAAGAAAAGTAGAACTAAAGGAGCGGTTTTAATCATTTTAAATTATTAAAAAATCATTGTCGTGGATATGTGCAGAAAACAGAAGATTTTCTTTTAAACTGAACAGTATAATTTATATTTATATACTGTACAAATTTCGCTCTTCACGTATTTTTCTTTTTACTATCTAACCTTTATTTTCTAGACCATAAAATAAAAATAAAAGGATTTTGTTACACAATTCTGTTCGTCTATGTGTATTTCGAGTCTTTGACTATACTTTCTCTTTTCTTTTCTCTCTTTGTTTTCTTCGAGGTCCTTCTGGAAAAACGATCATCGGAACAGAGTGAGTTGTACAATCTAATTTTGGCTCTAACGTTTTGATCATCAAGCTCTCCTTTATTAGCAAATAATATAAATTTTTATCACTATCAATAACTTCAAATTTACCCAATCGATTTTATGGCCGGCCTCAACCTCATATTTCGCTAAAGACGATTTTATCTTAACGCCATTACCATTCTCTATAGTATTCGCATTGTTAATCAGTCAAGATTGTACAACATCCAGGTGAGAAGACATCTGTGACAATTTTTTCTCTCAATCGAGGTGATTGACGTGGAACTGAGTACAGTTTAATAGTTTTTACTTTCTTTTTCTTTCTTAATGGACCGATCGAGTCGCGTATTTTTACTGCATCATCTGTCTCGGCATCAGATCTTTCATCATTCATCCACCGAAGTCCTAGCCCTGGTGAAACTTCGTGTAACCAAGATCTTGACTTCTTGAATTTTTTCAGTAAGATCTTGATGAGAAAATATAAGAATTCAAGAAGTCACGATGTTGAACATCTTGTAATTTCTTGAGTTCTTGTACCAAGATCTTGGAAATTCTTGAATCAGCGTTTTGTTTTACATTCTTGTGTAAATATAAGTGCGAATATTTTCACACTTAGGATAAGTTCGAATTTTTTCCTTCTTGACCATAGTTGTTTAAGGAAGAATCTCTGTAAGATCGTATATCCAATGGCTACGACTGTCATAAATAAAAACAAAATGTGAAGAAAATTTGTCACTCAAGCTCTTGCAACATCTTGGCTTACTTCACTCAAAAGCTTGGGTTAAGAAATTTCAAGTTGAGTGAAGTCAGCCAAAATGTTTCAGGATCCTGAGTGAAAGATTCAAGAATCCAAGATCTTGACTTCCTCGTGTTTTTTCCAAGATCTTGTGGCATTTCTTCACCAAGAATTTTCACCAGGGAGATCGGTGACAAGTTTTAAATAAAAGTTAGTAAAAACAGTTGCGAGAAAAACAGTTAAAATTGTCACAGATGTCTTCTCACATGGATATTATACAATCTTCACTGATTAACAATGCGAATACTATAGAGAATGATGATGACGTTAAGATAAAATCGTCTTTAGCGAAACATGAAGTTGAGACCGGACATAAAATCGATTGGGAAAATCAATCATTTTTTCTAAATCAGGACGAAAAACTCGTAATTCTTAATTTTCGCCATCAGAACTCATCTTTTGAGCAATACAAATATCATATTCAGAATCAGGATCAAAAACGAAATTGACCAATGTGTACCTCTTTCCTATCTGAGTACTTTAATTTTTTTCGAATTTTCAAGTTGAAAAATTACCAAGATTTTTTATCCAAAACTGAAAATCAACTAAGAATTTCGAACTACACATCAGTCGACTCAGTTTTTGATCCTAATTCCGAATGTGATATTTATATTGCTCAAAAGATGAGTTCTGATGGCGAAAATTAAGAATTATGGGCAGAATTTCGAGTTTTTCGCCTTGATTTAGAAAAAATGAATTTTCTCAGCAACGAAACAAAAAGAAGTGTTCCGGTACTTTTCTTCTTACAAGTATACTGAACTATGATTGTATGAAAGCCTTAAAAAAATTGGATTTAATCATATACCTAAAAAATTCCTGTATTTGTGTGATCAATGTGTTAACTAATCAATCTTTCTACTTTAGATGCAGTGGTTGCAGAGTTCGTTTTTCATTGCGAGATGCGTCAGGAAATACTGCTTTGTTATTACTTGGTCCAGGTTGCACATGTGCATGTACTTGTGAAACAAAATTTCTAGTAATGTGTTTCACAAAGCGTTTCTCCTGTACAGTTTATTTTAAATGCTTATTTTCTTTGCCTAGTTATTGGGTACAGATGGTGTAACAGAAGTTGGTGCAATTTATAAACACTATGCTGGACTTGTAGATGAAGTAGTCACTGGAGCAGAATCATTTTCAATAAGATGTAAACATATCATATTTGTTCAAGTAATGATAATAATAATTGTATTTTTTTCTTCCTTATAGTTCCACAAAATATGGATATCAAAATGAAAGCTGTCTCAATTGCGACATTATTTCTTATAGTGAGTTTTCACCGCTTTTGCTGGAGGGATGGATGATTCCATGGAAAATCTCGCAGCACATACAAAAGTTCCTCAGGTCAACGCGAAAATTATAGAAATCGTAGTACTTGCCCCGCTGCTTTGTGCGGTAAAAAGAAAAATTCAAAACCCTTTTAGCGTGATGGTGTGAACTAGCTCTTGAAAATATGTGATTGTCTAGTGACAGACTCATCACCAGTAGCAGAAGGCAAAAACAACTTAACTTTCAATTTGTAAAAAAATATTCCATTTCTATTCTACAACATATTTAGAGTGACATATCTGTAGTTCTATGATAGCTCAACAAAAGGCACTAGCACATTTTTCAGGCATTTAAAAATGCTTGAGATTTATCGCACAGCTTGCAGCAAGCGATCGAGGAGTGTTCAATATTGAACACATATTTCTACTTTTTCGATCTCGTATGAAAGAGCAATCATTTCTAAGTGGACTAGTGTTTCTGATTGAAGAAGTAATGTGTCATTATGGAGTTTTCAAAATTTTAAAATAGTCCGAAGGTCAAAGTGTGGTCGCTCTGGTACTATTTAAAACAAAATATTTTCACTTAGAAAAATGACTGAGAAGTTGGCATTTCGTCAACATTTAACTTATCAGTAACAGCTCAAAACATGATAACGTAGTTGTCGTAACGTAGAATGGGTAAAAATCGATGCTAAATTCAATGAACACATTTCCACGATCTTCAGAGATTTTCCAAAGATCTCTGGAAAAAGGTCTCAAGCCACCTTAATACCTAGGTTATTAAGATGGTTTCTAATGAATGTCTTTGTTTTTTCGTTCATTCTTCGGTTCTGATTACTATCAACTATATGTAAAAAACCAGAAAAAAGGATAGCTATATCTGAGTTAATGCTAATATCAAAATAAAACTTAACAAAAGAGAACACTTTAATTATTGATATTACCGTTCGTCATCTTACGATGAGATATAACTGTTTATAAACTGCTAAAAAGCATTCTTAGAATATCGTTGTAATATTTCCCTTCTTTATGGTCATCCACGCCTTGGAACTTTCGGAAATTAATGCGAACTAATTTAAAAAGTCTCATATTAAATTAGTTCGTACTAATTTTTTTCTTAATTAATTTTTTTCTTATGTTAATTTGACGGATTTTGGTTGAAAACTGAAATCAGTTTCTTATGCTTCCTTACTATCATACTTCTTTTATTTTAGAATTTTATGTATTTTGCTTCTAATGCAAAGGAAGGGCAAGGAATCATTGGGCAGTTATGAGACGTTTGATCCAGCTTAGCGAATTTAAACAGAACTTTTTTGCAAATGCAGTTCAGCAAACATACACTAACTATATTATATTTTTGGTGTGTTTTTTATGCTTTTTTCACACTGAATTTATGTCTGTTTATGGTACAAAGGTGAGACAAAATTAGAAAAATTTCCCTCGTAGGCTGCTCTTTTGTTTTCCGATGTTACGTTCTTGAGTCTACTATAATCATAGTAATCATTCTACTATATCCAGTTCATCCTTTTAGTTATTGTCATGCTTAAGGTAAAACTCTTTTTCATAACATAAAGTGGTTCTACCTATAGATGTTTTTTCCTTCCCTTCCTTACTCCTCTCCGTCCAGTTCGGTTTTTCAGATAAATAGACATACTTTCGTTAGGTTAGTCAGCAATGCTGTGCACAGAGTGTTTCAATCATCCGCCATTGTATTTTAGATTTCATTTTTATATATTATTTCAATTCCATCTACATATTTAATATATCAAGTTCATTTCATTCGAAGCAGAACTGGTTTATTTCACCTATAATCAGAAGTATGCCGGCAGAGATAGGATTTTCACAGCAATATTTTTACATCAATTATTACCCATTAATAACTCAGAAGTATCCCTACTATAACGATCTCATGATCTATAACTAACTTTTTATTGAATTGTTCTTGAACGCAGTGGAACAAGGAAAATTTCTATTCAGGTAGGCTATGTTCACAACATATTTGGATGATTTGTGATATGGTAATTAAGGCTCCAACCCCCGCCCTCTCGGTCAGAAATATAGATTTTTCTATATAAGGTTCATATTGAGGTAAGTGCATGATTGAAGAGTCCAAGGTACCCACTTTTAGAATCCACACTATTTGTGTCAATATCGAAATTTTCTGTAGGATTTTGAACAATTCTTCTAAACGCTTTAAAAACCTGAAATTCTGAATTTTCCGAAAGTCTGGCATTTCAATAAAATGTCGGGATCAAAAAGGATTCTGGTGACTCCTCTTACACTAGCGTCACTATATCTCAAAAGCAACTTTTTCCTACGTGATAAACACTGTCGGAACGATTTCTCCGTCAAATTAAGCACTAGAGAGCTCGGATCGATCTTAAATTGAAGATAAGACATATGGGAACAACGTAATAGAGTCTAAGTTTTGATTTAAGGCGTCAGTCTTTTACGCTGTTGAAAGTTATACTCCAGTTTTTGCACTTTTTTCGAACTTTTTAGATGAAATCCTTCGGAAAATAAAACCAACAAAAAACTCAAAAATCTGGCTCTGTTACGTCATTACTCTAACTTCATTTTATATTTTAAAACCAGTCCGATCTCTCCAGTTGTTTTTCAGAGAAGAAATCTGCCGGACGGTAGGTGCCCCATTCTGATCTATGTTCGAGCGACATCTCCTACACGATTGACAGGTGGAGCCATCAAACTTATGCAGTTCCTCAATATGCCCAACAAAACTTTTGCTCAGATCAGACTAGTAATTATCGAGATAGATTTCGGACCGGGGAGGGGGCCTTAAAGAATGTTCAGGATAAGAATTTTTTGAATATATCATCAAAAAGCGGGAAGATTCTGCACAGAACATGCATCTTAGAATATTATTATGCAGTAGAATGTTCTGGGAATGTTGAATAACCATTTGATTTTTTAATAAAATGTTGCATCGGTTGGTATATAAAAACAAATTTGAAATCCCGCAGAGGTGTTTTTCTGAGTGGTAAAAATCAAAAAGATCGCACCGTTTTTTCTGAGACGAAATTTATCTTTCCTTCTAACTGTGCTCATTCGATCCTCCATCCAAAGTTATTCCTGGCTGCAAGTTTTTGGACTTTAAAAACGTTCCTGTCTGGAGCTATACATTTTTAAAATATAAAGTGAAAAGTCTTCGTCGAAAAGCAACTATTCTTTTAATCTAATTATTTTCCTGTCTACTCACTTTCAAAACTTTGAACTATATATCAATCGAAAGAGCGTAAAAAATTGAACAAAATGTGGTAGCTTTCAACTTTTCCGAATTACAGTTAAGTAGAAAAAGTTGAAAAACATGAAATCTTTGAAATATTCATTTTTCGAATAAAACGACTGTTTAATTTCTTATCTCTCGGCAGATTTTTCTACATCATTTTCCAGGTTAGAAACTGATAATTCTGAATTTTGTGTTCTGATCAATTGATCTAGTTCTTGATATTTTGCAACTGATTGAAATCTGTCGACATATTCATCACGAGCTTGACGATGTGTCAATGACGGTTTTAGATAACGCACCAACTTCACTCTCAATTGTGCTGCTATATTTCCCGTTTTGATTTCATTTTCGTTGTCATGAAGTTGTTCGAAAGACGACACACGTGTTTGTAATTTATTAATCACTGATTTTAATTGATTTATCGCTTTCTTTATATGATTGAATAATTCACGTATCTCGTCTTTTACTGCTTGAAATTTGTACAAATTATTTGGTCCGAAAGCTCTCCTAATAATAAAGTATCAAGACTTTCAAAAATATCATTCAATATTTCTTGATCTGTCCTTGCACTTTCTGGTGTCATTGGTGATATGGTCAACATAGCCGATTTGGATGTCGATGCACTTTGATTGGTTTGTCACATTAAATCGTGCAACTTGGAAACTACAAACGTTAATGCCTGAATCGCCTTCATGTGTTGATAGTGATTCTAAATCATTTTTAAGCAGCTTCAATTGTTTTAATTACGATAGATGCACAATTATCTCTTAGAGTTTGTGTAATATGACTAGACAGTAAAACAAAACAGTAGAAAACTTTTAAGCAGGATGGAGTTTTTAGAAAAAACTGCAACCAAACACACACCTTGGTCAGACATTTTTTAATAAATATGTCTAATGTATATAACAACAATAATGTGGATCAGAGGTTGCCCCGTCAACAATCGTAACAATATTTCTGTTAGTTAAGTAACTTTCAAGCCAGTCCACCATAGAATCAGATATACTTTTATTGCGTAATTTCATCAATAAGCCTGCATGGGATACTCTATCAAAGGTTTTGCTAAAGTCTAAAAATACTGCTATAACAGAATCCCGTGCTTCTATACTATTAGCAATAAAGTTAACTATATCAACAAGTTGACTGACTGAGGAATCCCTTGGCAAAAACCCGAATTTATTCTTACAGATTAAGTCATTGACTCGAAGAAACCCAAAAACATGCATATATACCACTCTTTAGAACACATTTGACAATGCCGGTAATAATGTAATTGGTCTGTAGTTAGAACATATTAAGGTAAAACTTGTCCTAATTTTCAGCAGTCAGGGAATACTTTGTTGATCAGTGATTCATTAAACAGATGTGTTACAATCTGTGAGATAACTGGTGTCGCTTCACAAAGCATCCGATTCGAAATACCGCGTGATGTGGCTTTGCTAACATCCAGATTTAAAGGAATTTCGTAGACTTGTGAGATATTGACAACAAAATTTGACATCATCAGCGCAAAATCGACTTTTTATACGGAGGACAGAATCGGTTCAAAATTTTTTCCTGAAGAGCTTATTATATGAATCGACGGTCAGCAAAGTATCGCGCCAAAATGCGAAAAGCGATTTGAATCAAGAGATACTTTGTTGGCTGCTAAACTGAACGATGACTCAAAGAAGGTATGTGAATGGTCGAAGAGATGGTGTCTTCCACTGAATGTAAAGAAATGTACCTGTATGCTATTCACGAGTATTATTAAGGCTTCTTATCCGCCTTTACTTATTGATAACTCTATATTACCGTATGTTCAAAAGCATGTTCATTTAGGATTGACACTGATGCCTACTTTAGAATGGAAGACACATATTCTTGATATCTCCAAGAAACTTTCACACCCAGTGGGCTCGATGAAATACTTGAGCCGAAGGATTTCTCGTGAGACGCTAAACTCTATCTATCATGCCTATGTACTTAGTGTCATTAACTATGCTCTAGTTATTTATCGGGGCATTGACTAGTGTAATCTGAATATGCTATTCTTAATTCAGTATCAGGCTGCACTCGCAGTGTCAGGTTGCATGCGTGGTACATCGCAGCAGAAAATTCTGCAAGACTTAGGTTGATTGTCAGTAATGCAGTTGGTTTATGTGAGAAGATTGTACCTCCTCTATAAAATTGTGTACGGCAAAACGTCTCCATATTTACGTGAGCTTGTGCCAAAGTACGATAAAGTGTTGTATGCCACAAGAAGTGTGGCTCGAGGTGATATTCCGACAAGCTTCAAGGCAAGCTTGAGACTTGAAAGAACTTTCATGAGAAACTCAAGTAAACTATGGAATCAGTTGGATGATGACGTGCGTAATGATCGTAAGTATAGACGTTTTAAATCGTACTTAGAATCATCTTTCCTAGAATCCTTCCGGGTTCCTCCTGCTAAGAATAGAAAACCTGAGATCCATTATACGAGATGTAGACTTGGTTTTCCACAATTAAATGAACCCTTATTTATAAGACAACTTGTGCCTTCGTTAGATTGTATTTGTGGAGATGATAAGGAATCAACTAAACATTTCTTCATGCATTGTACTGGGTATAATACCCCACGTCAAGCGATGTTACAGCTGTTCGCGAATATCTTAAAAGTAAAAATAGTAACAATTGACCATGTTTGGTTGCAACACAGTTTGATAAGAGCACTCTGCAAAGAAGAACTGATTGAACTATATGATGCTGTCCTCCACTTTATCGCTCCAACTCAAAACAACTGTCATACTAATCATTTTATTATATTTCAAGAATTTGTTATTTTTATTTTTTTATATATATTCAACATTTTTATATTCATGTATTTTATCACTTTATTATCTCTTTTTGTTGTATATGAGAAACCGGCACACAATAGGCCTGCTCGACGTGCCGTACATATTCCTTGTTTCCGTCGTATCTTTCTTAACACTGGAAATAAATATGTTTAAAAAAAAAAAAATCAAATTTACTGGCGTAGAATACTAGGCAGATCACAAAACCTGAGTCTCACTGGAGTGAATGAACCTTCCTACAGATAATACGTCTGTCTTCCTCAACTATATCCATAGAAATCATCTTCACGTTAAGAAATTACGCTGTTTTCTGCAGTTTGAAATAAAAAGGACAAAAAATACAGATAGCATATCATGTTAACCATATAAAGAATAGGATCGTATAAAAAAGAATTTACCTCACAGGTATATATAGTTACACTACGCAAATAATCGTGATTAAACTAGTGGTGCAACCGCAGTGATTGTCTATATACAAGTCTTTTATTTTTTCCGCTTTTTTTATACTCTGCTTCCTTCATTCTTTTTCCTTCATATCAGTCAAAGAGTATACGTCACAGCATATAGATATAGAAAAGATATATATCTTCTTGTATGATATACAAATCTTGTTTTATGTACTTGAAGTGGAGGCAAAAAGTTTAACAACAAAATTGTTTCTTGTCATACAGTTCCAAGATAAAGACTATAGAACTTCTGATGACTGATATAGGTAGCCAGGGTCTATAGCTATGTACCACATATAGAGAGACTTCGAAATTACTTCATGTTTTACTTGTTCATGTTTAACAAATAGAGAAAAGTTTAGCGATAGATAGAAATGTCTTTAGTTTTCTTCTCAGAGTAATCACCAAAACTAACAGAAATGGCCGCCCTTCGCTCGCAAACACTTTTTCAGTCTTTCTGGCATTGAATCGACCAGATTCTGACACACTTCAACACCGAGTCCCTTCCATTCCTGTTCCAAATGCTTTCTAAGTATTGCTTTGTTATAAATCGGCGTTGCCATCAACTTTTTGTCCAGAATACTCCATACCATTTCGTTGACTTGCTGAATACAATCTGGGTGAAGTCGCTCTTCGTCAGTTCTCCAAATTTTCACTTCGTTCTTCCTTTCAAGGACATAAAAAGTTGACTCGTCGGAAAAAGTAATGTTTTCCCAATGGCTTTTGGAGAAACGTGCGTACACCATGCCACTCTTCGTTCACATTGCTTTTTACTCAACCACTGTGTGTTGAGTTTGACCTTGTATTCGTACCCCAATTTCTTGAGGTAATTGAAGACTGTTCATCGAGTGACCGGCTCATGTAGAGACTGATTCAATTCTTTCGTAATCTTGTGACGGAGAGTCTGTTTTCGCCTTTCACGAACCGTTTCAAATGTCGCTGGTCTCGTTCACCAATCTTGCGGGCGCCCAGAACGTTTTCTATCAGTGAACTCACCAGTTTCTTTGTGCTTCTTGATGGCGTTGTACACACCGCTTAGAAATGTTCAGTTGCTTCGCCACTTCGTCCATACTCATCGTGGTCTTGCTGTTGTTGTACAAGGCAACTGCCTGGACTCTTGTGAATGGATCAACTGCTCTCTTCCCCATGAATTAGTACAAATATAATAAGAAAATGAATAAAATATCTAAAACAGATCCTGACACCTCATTCGCGACTAAAGCAACCAGTTTTCTACTAATAAAACTAAAGATATTTCTATTTGTTGCTAAACTTTTTTCCGCTAGTGGAAAAACATTTTTCTATTTATTAAACATGAACAAGTAATTTTGAAGTCTCTCTATATGTGGTACATAGCTATAGACCCTGGCTACCTATATCAATCATCAGAAGTTCTAAAGTCTTTATCTTGGAACTGTATGACAAGAAACAATCTTGTAGTTAAACTTTTTGCCTCCACTTTAGGTTTTTGGAAATACGTGTGATCAAAAGTGGCTATGAAGTAGGAAAAGTATGACGAATCAGGCATACACAATCTCTTTTATCACAAAGTAGTCTATAGATACGAAAGAAAAAAGAAAATCTGGCTGATCAATTCAAAAGAGATCAAGAGAACCAAATCTGGCTGTCTTGAGTCATTTCCGACTTAATCCTTGACAGGTGCTTGGACCCACTGTGCAGTTTTTGGTTTCTTACTCGGCAGTATTCATCTCTTTCTAGCTGCTCTCTTTCCTAATCGTCAATCTTCTATCTACGCACACTACCTATATCAAGTCTCGTGAGTGAGTCGTACAGACAAAAAACTGAAGCGTGGGTCCGCACAGACCCGATAACAACCATGGTGTTATATTTACGATTTTCAGCCGTGTTACAGCAGCCCTCTGTCGTCATTTGGGTAACACTTTTCTACAAACATTTTTCTACCAAATGAGATGTTCCGCAGCTATGAGCAAATCTTGATAACTGATGTATGGAAATTTCCCCGGATGCTACAACACCAGTTAAAAACTGCTGCATAACCGCGACCATTTAAGAAAACGTTTGCACTAAAAAGTGTGTTTCTTCCTATTCAGAAGGGTCAAAATACAACAAAATTAAATAAGGAACTAATTTATCGAATACCATGTGATGGGTGTGAAAAAAGTTATTTGGGAGAAACGGGTAGAGAGAAACAAATAAGAATGAATGAGCATAAGGAAGACATAAAAATATGGCATCTAAATTAGCAGTAGCAGAACATGTAAGGGTTCACAATCATAAATTTGATTTCGATAACTGTGAAGCTTTAGCCAGAGAAACGATTTAGAGACGATGGGTAAACATAGGCTATGCTTATGTAGGAGGCATATTCAAAAGGAACTGTGCTCTTGTCACAAATTCAATCGGATGATGAAGTACGGCAACGAGTTATTTGTAGGAAAATACTTCAAAAACCGGCAAATTGCTCAGCTAGAATGCGGCCTATTATTCCTAAATGTTTTACATCATCAATACAACAACGGCCGATATTTACAGATTTTAAATACCATCTTCTTCAAGCTCAGTATGAGTTAGTGAGTGTGTTAGTGTTCTTCCTATGATATCAACATTTCATTCACAATTCACTAAAAATTCGTATCTAGAAACGTCAACTTCCGTCGTTAATAATAATCCACAACAATTATTCACGGATAGCAGCCTTTTATCCGTTGAACATCAATGCTAATTAAATGAATTTTATGGAACAGACATCAAAAACGGGAATTTATTTATGAGGGGACAATAAATGTTTTTTCTGCATACAATTTTCATCGTTGTTCTGATAATAGAAGGCCGACCATGACTCTGATAGGTCTATAGAAGGTTATTTATTTGGTGGATTTACAATTGTGTTATGACACAATTGTGTTATGACACAATTGTGTTATGACACAATTGTAAATGACATGTCATGGGTCAGTGATAACTGTTATAAAACTGATTTTAAGCACATTTATATCTATATTAGAAAATCCATATGGCATAGTAGCGACAAAATTTTCGATTCAAAGCGAGAAAATTCAATGCTATTAACTTTCGACGAGAAAGTGCCAAAATGTGATCTACTTTTGAAAAACTGAGCAGAAATTCAGCAAGAATTTAATCATTTCTTGAGAACTGAGTCAAATGGCAGAAAACGTCGATCAGGAAACTGCACCCGGTGTGAGATAAAAAGAAATGGACTCAAAAGATGGTCAAAATTCACCTGCAATTTTTGCTCAAAATTGCTGAAAAGTAGACCTTTTGACGCTTTCTTCAAGGGAAAGCACTGCTGTAGATGGACTGTTTTCGTTATTGTTGTGAATTCGCATGAAATGATTTCAACTCTAATGTTTAACTAATACACTGCTAGAAGAAGCAGAATTCTCAATTTGTTAGATTTGGGATAGCCATTAAGAATTGAGTGATTTCAAACCTTTTATTATTAAACCAATAGTCGCACTTACTCTAATCGTCTTTCGTATACCTTATAAGACCACGCATGCAAAACGACGAGGAATTCATGGTCAAAATGAGTACTCTTTTGGATTCATTCCAACGTCTCGTCTGCTCGCGTTATGTTTCCATGAATGTAGATCTAAATTGCGCAGACAACTATTCTTTACAGTACTGCCAAATCTTTACCATGTCTCTTACACAAGGTTATAGTGCGCCGACTGGTTGTTCTTATTGTAGTATTTTTGTAGATTAACCATGGAATTAGAACACTATTAGTTCAATCATTTGGTGTTAACTGTATTGTATGCTGTTGTTAAACAGCAGAACAGAAAAGAAAAGAAATCGTGATTTTCGATTATCTGGCGACTTCGTGACGGATCATTCCTTCCTTTTCAACTTGTGTCACCACGAAGAGCATAAATCTCCATCACTTCAAGCTAAAATATCTAGAAATACAACTAATGGTACAGATCGAATTGTACCATTTAGATCAGGTTTAAGCATTACAATTTTGGATTTTAATTTTCACAAGGAAAAATTAAAATTTTAATTTTTCTAATAGGAGAATTTGAGATTCAGCTGGATTCGAGTTTCTTCTGCAACACATACATCAGTTAAATAAAATTTTCTCTCAATATATAACCGGTAATACTAAACGAATTTAGTTAATTCTTGATGAATGGCGCACATTTTGTTTGCGAACATACAATCGATCTAATAGCTTTTAAAGCCTTTACCTTTATTTAACTAATGTTTAGTGAATAAAAAATAAGTAAAAACTAATTTGGCTCATCTTATCACACCGTTATTAATTTTTTGCTAGCTTACTCATTGAAAATCATTAATTCGTTAAAATCAGATTTGTTAAAAAATGTTTTGGAATTCAAACAAGAGAGTGAACGCGTACATGTGCATTTTATAGTGACGAAGAATACTTTTCCAGCAATTGAACAAGCACCTCCTTGTCTGTTGGTGATAGAACATCAGTGAGAATCGCATTAATCAACGAAATAATGCCCTGTCCATCCTTGATATTAGCATCTTCCACTTCCTGAAAGATTTCTTGAAGTTTGTCTTTTAATAGATGTTTGATCTTCGTCACCTGTTCACTATCCCATCTGCCTGTACGGCAAAAGCAGGCAAAACTCTCACAATTTAAAGTAGCTAAATCATACACTATATCATCGGCTTTCTCGAGCAATTCTTTTGCCACTTTGACAGTTTCTTTTTGTTTTTCGTATGTATCACCGTCGTAGTTGACCAAATAGAGTTCGCGCGTTTTCTTGCCCAGATTATCGACGTTACCTGCGAGGAATATTGGCATGGTGGTCATTTGAACACGTCCCACGTTTTTATTTCTACCCCATAAATGCATAATTGAAATGTCGGGTGCGGCTGGATCGATGACGATACCATGGTGAAAGTGTTCGTGTCGAATGGAGGCGGCAATGTGGGCGCCAGGATACAGGAGTGTATCGGCTGATTGAACATCGATACGTTCAGAATGCGACGGCTGGAGATCGAGATTGTACTTTTCGACGAGTACAGGAAGAAAATCCATGTATTCTGTTAGCAGTAAATGTCAATCTAGAATGGCTTTATTGCAAAACGAAATTAGTAGGAATATTAAAAGAGTTCTAGCTGTGATGCATCTGTATCGTGACCTTAAAAAGCTTATTGAATCAGAGACTCAAAAAACTGTTCAGGTAGCTAGATGGATTATTCTTTAGTTTATGATTCATTTAATTTTTGACTAATGGAGTTCATGTATCACATATGATACATTCGCAAGATTAAACTAAATATGATTTTTTGTTGTAGCTGTACACAAAAACTGGCTCTAGGAGCGTGTGAGAGAAGGTTCGAAATATGTATCATACGTAAGTCAGGACGTATATATGATGTTTTAGGTTTTATAGTAGACAGTGAACGTACAAAAATCATAGCTTGTGTGATTTACCTGTTCTTGCTTCGTCCGTATGAAACACTACTACACAAATTAAGCAAAAACGAGAGAACAAAAGAAGTATTGTTTTCACACTCGTACGAACATATATTTTCTATTCAAATCTATTTATATGCCAATTATGAACATACTTGACATTGACAGCATGAAGAAATGAAAACAAATCATGAATAATAACTGCTTCCTTGTCTGCAATTTTACATAATAGACTTACATATTATATGGAAGAAAACATAATAATAAAGTAACTAAAAAGAAATAGAATTCTTTTTAAATTCTTCTTTTTTGTTAAAGTTTAGAGAATTATTTATTTTTAAAGCTGCATGGAGCTCTAACAGGTGCGGCATAAAGACATTTTCAAGTAAATAGCGCTCGCAACCGTTAGGTCAAAAGCCAATAGAAAATGTTAATGATTATAACTCAGCTCAGAAATGTAGAGAGATGGTTGATGTCTTATTTTCTTCAGAATCTGATGCTTCTTTCAGGCTGTCTAGTTAAAACGGAGTTTTAGAGTTTTCTAGGAGGTGTCTGAAAAAACGGATTTGAGAATTTGACCTGTTGCACAACTTTTTCTCAGAATTTTCTTACTCCATACGAAAGAGCATCAAAAAAGCTTGTCAGCATTGCTTCTACGAAGCAAAAATGTGGAAAATTCCTACTGAACGTATCAGAGACCGAATCGGGTCTTAGGTGGATGACCAGAATCCGACCCGACCCGAAGACTTTTTTACCTGAATCCGACCCGATACGAATCAATATTTTCTATTTGGGCCCGAACCCGACTCGACCCGAAGTGGTACGAAATTTTTGAAACTTGACCGAGTGACCCGAAAATTTTCTTAGATGACCTAATAAATTTTTCTGGAAAAAGAGCAGAAGCCTACAGCTTTTGTAATAGTCTAGAACGTTTCTCTGATTTTTTGTCCAAGTGGTAGTTCATTCGAATTGTGATAACCCGAAACAGGAAATCTTTCTCAGTCGTATATTGTCATGAAGTTTAATCATCATAATGCGACGCATGTTTAAGGCGTTCGTTTTCTGGATTTATGTTTACTTTTTTCTTTCTTTGCTTCAACAGTACGATACTGTACAATGTATACTACGCAGCGTCAAAGCAGAAAGGAAGAAACACTGTAAACGCGAATCAATATTTTTTACTTCAACCCGAACACGACCCGAACCTATTTACATTGGCCCGAACCCGAACCGATCCGTTTCGGTGTCTGGAACATATATAACATAGTAATAACATATCGTAATAATTTTTAAAACTTGTGCCTAATGGCATCAGATGCACTGTCTGTTATTAGTCCATTCAGTAGCTGTAAACACCAAATTTATATTGAAATTTGGTTAATCACAATTTCGCCCCGATAGTTTACAGTTACTGGAATGTGTGTTTACAGCTACTAATAAAAAACCCTCGGAAAACCACAAAATCCTCGTATATAAACTTTATACTTCAAACTTCCTTTTCCTTCGGAAAACGGACAAGTCCTAAAGTGTTCATAAAATAGGTCTGCAGGTGAAATCTCTATTTGTTTCAAGCTTTCGTTTAGGAGTAGCAGATAAATCATTTGTGGATGGTAGGGAAATTTGCGGGATTTTCGAACTAAATTTGACTTTTCGGCACTTTAATGGAGTCATATACAGTTTTGGACGGGATATTCTGAAAGAACCCGCCTTTTGCATATATCTAGCAGCTTTTTGCAGTTCCAAAGTACGACTTCTGCCTTCAGCAGGTAGACTTCTGTAGAAGATTATAAATAACGTTGGGCGAGAAACAAGCTTTTTTGCCGGTATAAGAAGGTTTTCATGCAAAATACAAGCCATATTTGTAGCTATAAGTTTTATCGAAAAAGAAAAAGTTGGAAAACATCAGTACAATAATGAGGAGAAGGAGACGAATCCATTGCATCTTTACATCATTGACTGCGGACAAAGGGCAGGACAAGAAATACATATAAAAACAAGTGACAAGGACAACATAAAAAGGATAAGTACAGACAAAATAAAGACAAAAAATAAAGAGTGAAGAAATAGGCGTACGAGGAGGGAAATAGGAGTTAGAATCGTTGTGTCTTTGATATAAGTTGATATAAGCTTTATTATATTATGTAATGAAGAGAAGAAGAAAAAGAAGAAAACAACTACTGGATGGACATATGGACCGAACAAAAAGAAAGAGGAAAAAACCCATAGGTCATTTTGACTGTTCTATAAAATCAAAAGTTGTAAATGTACACTGATATATGGCTAAAGAAAGAGACAGATTGACAGAGACACATTCATTTTCTAGCACGATTAGATAAAAAACCATGTCTACAGAATACATTCACGCTTGATACATACAATAAGCAAGTGTACGACTAGAAAGAAGAAAATAAGAAGGTAAAAGTATAACAAATAAA